GGGGGGGGGGGGGGGGGGGGGGGGGGGGGGGGGGGGGGGGGGGGGGGGGGGGGGGGGGGGGGGGGCGCATGGCCTCTATTTTTCAGGGGGGTTCGGCCACGTTTTGGGGGTCGGGTCTATGTGTACTGCACTCTCGAGTTGTCCCCTCACTATAGCTACTGTGGATTTTCAGTATACAGCTATCCTTACTCAACCCGTCGATCTGTCCGGCAATCTCCAATACAAATCAACCTGTGAGGTTTCATTATGCAGCTTTCTTCACTCAACACGTCTAGGTGTCCGGCAATCGCAAACGTCACTCAACCCGTTAGGTCTTAATATGCAGCTATCCTCACTCAAAGCGTATATGTATCCGGCACTATCCAACATCACCCAACTCGTGAGGTTTCAGTATGTAGCTATTCCCACTCAGCGCGTCTATGTGTCTGGCAAACTCAAAAACCAATCCATCTGTAAGCTTTCAGTATGCAGCTATCCTCACTCAACGTCTAAGTGTCTGGCAATCTCCAATACAAATCACCTGTGAGGTGTCAGATGTGTGTCTGTCCTCACTCAAAGCGTCTATGTGTCCGGCAATCTCCAATACAAATCAACCTGTGAGGTTTCAGTATGCAGCTTTCGTCACTCAATGCGTCTATGTGTCCGGCAGTCGCAAACGTCACTCAACCCGTTAGATCTCAATATGCAGCTATCCTCACTCAAAGCGTGTATGTGTTTGGCACTATCCGGCATCACTCAACTCGTGAGGTTTCCGTATGTAGCTATCCCCACTCAGCGCGTCTGTGTGACTTGCAAACTCAAAAACCAATCCATCTGCGAGGTTTCAGTTTACAGCTATCCTAACTCAACGCGTGTATGTGTCTGGCAAACTCAAAAATCAATCCATCTGTCAGGTTTCAGTATGTAGCTATCCTCGCTCAACACGTCTATGTGCCCGGCAACCTCCATCACAAATCACCTGTGAGGTTCAGTATGTGTCTATCCTCACTCAATGCGTCTTTGTGTCCGGCACTGCAACATCACTCAACCCGTGGGGTTTCAGTATGCAGCAATCCCCACTCAACCCGTCCATGTGTCTGGCAATCTCAAACCTCACTCAACCCTTGAGGTTTCAGTATACAGCTAATATCACTCAACACGTCTACATTGTATATGTTTGGCAATCTCCTACATCACTCAGCCTGTGAGGTTTTTGTAAACAGTTATCCTCACTCCCCTCGTCCATGCGTCACGTGTCTTGGTTAGAGCATACCGTGGGGGCTATATTTCGGGTGGCGTGTTTTACAGCGCTTTGCCAACAGCGCCAACCCACTTATCTCTAGAGGGCAGCTTGTGGGGGGGGGTGGCTTTGTTGTTGCTGGTGATTCGGGCAAGTGGGGGAGGGGGGTCGCTAACACAAACACATGAAGACCGGTGACAAGGCAAAGAGCTGTCCAGAGCAAAGATGGATATTTTTCAACAGCGGTCGACCCTCGGCCAACTTCAAATCTCAGCCTCCCAACGTATGCAGTCTCTCAACCATGGCCACACAAGAGGCACTACTCTCACTGCTACGGGGGGAGAGCTTTGTTAATTTTTGATCCTTGTGAGCCAGTGGAGATGCACAGGTTATTTTTTCTGGCGGATAGCTAAAAATCATGTCGGTTGCAACGTAAGAAAGCAATCTGAAGAAGCCATGTGTTGGTTTTGTTGAACTTTGACAAAGACACATCGCGAAATTTATTGCATTTCCGACTGGCTGGTCAACACACCGCCGGAGCAGTGCTCCTTTGTACTGCACTTTGTTTTTCACGCCACCAAAGCGTTTACCATGCGCATACCAACTGTTTTTCCGCACCACTCCCCCCCCCCCCCCCCCCCCCCCCCCCCCCNCCCCCCCCCCCCTGCACGTACCCTTTACCATCACCATTTTGCAACAACAGTTCTGCTGTGTAACGTCTTGAACTCCATCAAGCCAGGGCTAGTCCCACACGTGAACCCCTCTCGCGGGACCTTCCTCGAGTTGGAGAACATCTCCGCCTTCCTGTCCGGTTGCCGGAAGGTGGGGGTCCCCGAGCACTCGCTGTTCGACACGAAGGACCTTCACGAGAAGAGGGACATGCAGGTCGTGGTGCGCTGCTTGCACGTTCTGGGCGCGGCGGTGCAGTCGACGGTGCCGGATTTCAGGGGGCCTTTCTTGGGTGAGGGAAGGGATCTGTCCTGATCCTGTGGAGCTCGCCTTGTAGGAATAACTTTTTCTCTCTTGTTTCGTTCCCCTTTCTTGAATTTTTTCCGACGCGCAAAACCCGACAACGTTTTGTACAGGGAGCACGCTTGAACTCGTTTCTATGGTACAGCCGACGGCTCTGAAGTCGTTGAGCCGCGCAGACAGCGGATGACTCTTTCCAATCAGCGGTCACCTTTTTTTCTCTCGAGATGACAAGGTTCGATGCGCACTTTTTTCCGACTCCCAAACCCAAGCTTCGCAAGAATCCCCACCGTTTGTACGAGAAATCATCTACAAGTACAGTAGGACCGATCTCGCAGCAGTTGTTACGCCCCCAAACCACCGAAAGCTTATCCGCCCGGCGGCCTCTCTCCTCCCTAATCCCGCCCTACCGACCCAGGCAAAAAGTCGGAGGCTCTGTCGATCGTGAACGCTCGAGGTTTGAGGAAGCGACTGGGGAAAGGCCCCGGAGCGAGAGGCGGAATCCACACCCTCACCGCCCACAAGGGCGGCGCCGGCGAGTACGTCGGATCTGGCGACGTGCCGATCGAGCAGCCCGACCCCACGGCGACCATGACGCCCGCGGAGTCGCCCTCCGGCAAGCGGGCCTCCCGCCGGCGAGAAGCTTCGGACTCGGCGGGGGGCTCCGGCGTGGTGGCGGCGGGTACCCCCGCCTCCCCCCGCGCGATAGCGGAGGGGCTCTCCGGCGGCGTCCTGCCCGCCGTGATCTTGGAGGAGGAGGCGCCCGCGGGGATGACCTCGGCGGTCGTGCGCGTCGAGCGGCAGGGCAGGCGCGGCGCGAGAGCGGCGGAGGAGGCGGGGGCTGGCAGCAGTGGGCGGCAGAACCTGGCGGGACTGTTCGCGGACGCGGCGTTGGCGGCGGATCCTCGAGAAGGCGGGGGGCGAGGGGGGGCGGTGGCACTACGACGAACTACCAGCGGGGCGAGCGGCGTCAGCGGCAGCCAACAGCGGCGCAGCAGAGGCGCTCACAGGCAACTGCAACACCAGCAGCGCAAGGACGAGGACGGCGAGGGCGTTGTGTCCCAGGTCCAGCGGTTCGTGGAGCTGCACACTCGCCAGCCGTGGCGCGTCAGCGGGGACATGCACGAGAGCCTGCGCGACGGCTGGCAGCTCGCGCTGCTGGCCAACGCCCTGCGGCCGGGAGCCGTACGGTGCGTGCACAACTCCATCCAGCCCGTCAAGCACATCCAGAACATCGCCAGCTTCCTCATCGCCTGCCGGCGGATGGGGGTGGCTCGCGCCCTGCTCTTCGACATCGAGGACCTCTACGAGAAGAGAAGCAACACCAGGGTGGCAAGGACACTGCTCGCGCTGCGGGCGCTGGCGGCCGATCCGGACTTTGCTCTCGCGAGACCTTCCTCGCTGATGGGCACCTCTCTGCTCGTGAACGCTGCTGCGGCTGCGGCGAAAACCGGGTTGGCGTCTGGGCCGCCGTCAGCGGCATCGGCAGGTGGTCGCAGATAGTGGGGGGTGCTAAAATCGGGGGGGAAGTTTGGTAGTAAGCTGTTTACCGTCTAGCTTGGTCGCTCCCTCTGGTGTTGTTGGTCATCCAGATTACAACAGCCGAGTGTTCTTACCCTATGGAGTAAATACATGGGGGTAGATTTCTACATTTTTGGAAGTATACATAACCTCACAGAACGACACTTGTCCGTTCGAGATTCATTGCAGTGTGTTTCAGTTGCGGGTAGTGTTGGGAGACAGCGCTGGGGGGGGGTCTACGTTCTTTTTTGTCCTCGACAAGGGTAGTTAGTTGTCGTACATGGATGCTATTTTTTCAACCCGTAGGCTGTTTTGTTGTGTGCCATGGGTGGGGGAGTGATCGACCTCTCGTGAGGTTTGATTTGATGAGTGTTTGATGGCGTGCAGGGGACAATATGTTGCTGCATCGGGTTGGTTAAGCGGTCCAGTTTTTACACGCACCATACGAGAAATTTATGCATGTCTAGTCTTCCGATGCACGAGCGATTACGATTGTTGGGTTTTTGTCTTTGCAATATAACTCGAGAAGTTTTATCCGTTCGATAACTTGTACGGCATCGAAGCATCATATAGATGGTTCTACGCGAAGTTCTTTCTGATACAAGCGTGGGCGGCCAAAATCTCTGCTTTCTGTAGGGGGGGCTTGAGTGTTGTGTGTTCGCCGCAAACTCGCTGAAAGGAATACTCTGGCTACACCGGCAATTCTGGGCAGACAGCAGTGTGCGGTATTCGCGGAGGAAGCATCAAGGAGTTATCTAGTGTTGTGTATCTCTGGTGCTGGCAGATTGTTTTGCTTGGTGACCGTGTGCTGCGGCGTAACGTCGTGCTGTCTCAATTTCTGGACGGTTTGGCTTGTGCCCGGGGTGAGTCCAAGGGGTGCCGGTGCAAGAGTATGCGGCGAACGGGCTCTCGTTGTTGCATGTGCAGCCGACCACGTGGCATCCACGTGGCGATTGTACTACGTTATGTAGCGGGAGGCCGCAACTTGTGTGCGCTTGCTTGTTCAGGCCAGAACTATGCATTCGTACTGAGCCGGTCGCGTGCGCTATTCTTGTGTCCACATCGGTATCACATCAGGTCTCGACATCCTTGGTATCAATCCTGATGTATCACGAGTTCCCCCCTTTCGTTGTATAGTAGTAACAACGGAGAGAACGCGGGGGCGCGCCCTTCTATCTCACCATCATTTGCATGCGGATGTGTTGTATGGTTAAGTTTGTGTTCGTTTCTGTCGGGTGCTGCTGGCTTTTGGAGGCATGGCCTACGAAAGCGTAGAGATTGGACGCTTGGGGGTGAAGTGATGGAGAAAGGCCGGCAGTGTGTGCGTTGTTCACGTTTGTATTTTTTAGTGCATGCAGCAGCAGCGGCGGCGGCGGGGTGGGAGAGGATGCCACACGACGTGCTACATGGTTGCGGGCCGTTCTACTGGCGGCCAAAATTTTCATGCAGAAACGACTACCTGCTGCTGCTGTTGTTGTTCGTGTTTACTGTTGACTTTGTTAAGCTCACTCTGCTTGGATGCGTTTGGGGTCTGTCCTGTCCCTACAATAACTTTTGTGCGGGGGAGGGAGCGTGTGGAGTCTTAAATATTATGATGTAGTTAGTGGGTTTCCCTGGAGCATGTGCTACTTTCCGACCGCCATACCGCGTCCAGTAAATACGAAGGGATTGGGGGGGATTCGTTGTGTGCATTTTTGTGGCGCACGTAGCGGTGCGAGCTCGTCCTCTGCCTCCTCCCAGGTACAAGAGCTTGGGAGATTGTGAGTTGCCACGTTATGTGTGGGACGTAGACATCGCGGTTTAGAAGACAAGATAACAATGACATGACGACACAATAAATACATGACTGACTAGCCAGTGAAGTAACACCCAGAAAATATCAAGCACGAAACCGAACGACGTCGCAGTCTTGTATGTTTCCTTCCATATTAGCATAGATTTTCATATGCATCGGAAAATTTAGATTAGTCTTTTCCTGATACAGGGAACGTGTGTGGGTCACTATTGATTGAGCAAAAATGACGTCAGGGTCACCGTTGATGGAGCAAAAATGATGTTTTTAAATTGGTTCTATGTTTTTCTTCTCGGCCTATCTACGCGACACTTTCTCCCAAACTTGTTTTTGTTGTCTTCGCTCACACTTGATTAAACAGTACGTCAGTGGGGAGGGCTGCCGGACAAGAACGAACATGTTGCAGTTCGCTTGATCACGATGAGTGATGGACTCACCTCTTTCTTACTGCAGAACGGAACGAGGATGATCGCACGGAGATAAGCGAGAGTTCTCCAAACCAACGGAAAAACTTAAACCACAACGCAAACAACTCCTAATCAAATGTCATCGCCCCTCACAGGAACAACACTTCGCACTCTAAACTGTAGTGAACATTTGAAAGTAAAGCAAACAACTGTCAATTACACAAGATAACACACACCCTGGACCGATTTTCAAATCTCGATTTCTCAACAACAGAAAGAGACACAGCGCCGAAAACGGTGGTGTTTGAGCTGTTTTGTCGAAAGCTTTCCGAAAATGTATTGTTTCATTTATATGCGTCCTCTTCCGTCATGGCGCAATCGAGCTTTGAAAATTGGTTCAGGGGGTGTAGTATCTTGTGTCATTGACAGTTGTTTGCTTTACATGTAGTCTAGACTAGTGCGTGTACTTGCAGTATTTTCAGCGCGTGGAAGAAAAATCTTGCAGCCGTGAAAGACAAATTCGCAGACAGACTGCTGTGAACACCATCACCTCTTCTTAGCTGCTGTGATATGCTACATGCAGCACATGCCGCAAACTAAGTTAGCCTAGCTGCTGTTGCGCGTACAGCTACTGCTGCTGTAGCTGTGAGTGTGTCATATCTTTGCATCATCGTCATACACTACGTTGCTCTCATGCCCTGGTGCGTAGTGCCTGGTGCTGGTACGTTACTCTCTTTCATTTTTGATCTTTTCTTTATTTAGGCGGGTGTGGGAAGCGTCTTCCATTATTTGTTGTATAAATATTTTTTTTCTTAACATTACATAACAAATAATTCGTCTCTTCTTCGATCCATCTGTAGAAGAAATAAGTCTAAGATAGATTAGGGTGGGTCCTACGTAATTTTTTCAAAAGTCGAACATCGAACATCGAACAAGCGGATAGTTAGATGTTCGACTTTTCTGGTCCTTTGTATTTTGCGAAAAAGCGTGAAAAAAAACCCCACACACACACGTTTTTGCGTTCAACAGCCCGCGTTGTTGGACCACGCCCGGAAAACCCAAGGGCACTCGACTCTCGAAAAGATGCGAGTGTCGAGGAACAGGGACGGCGCCAGGAGGAGGAGCACAAGAAGCAGCCCCACCAGCAAAAACAGCACCGGTTGAAAGTAGCTAGCGCTCGAAGCCGCGGGGTGGAACCCCGGCATCCCTTGCGGCCTGATGCCCACATGCATTGCCGCGGGACCCTGCCGACTCACACCAACACTGCTGCAGCTGTTTGGCTGTCCAGCAATGCTGTATGGTTGCGACGGGAAGGAACCCCCGTGTGATTAACCTCACACCTGGCCCCGTTTGTGCACGCGGGGCCCGGGATCCAGCGCAAACTCGTCGTCGCTCTGTGCAGACATGGGTATTGCTGTTGCTGTCCTGCAAAAATCTCTGTCGTTCTCCCTCTCCCCGAGATTGTGTTTTTTGGTAGTGTGTGTTGGGTGCACGTGCGTGATCCATGGGGCGCGACTATTTACAATCCATGGATTGAAAAAGAGAACCACAGGACCCGGGCCAGGGAAACCCGGAGCAGAACTGGCTGACATGCCTGAAGGACGACATGAAGATGTTCGAAGCCAGGTACGGCTCCACGACCGACAAGCCGAGCGTCTTCGGAGTCCCGAAGTTAGTCTGGAGTGAGGCGGCGAAGGTGGAGGGGGGGGTACCGTGGCACGCGGGGGTGCTACAGGGAGCTGAGAGGTTCATGGCCTCTTGGCACAAGGGCAAGGAGGAGGCCAGCCGACAACGAGCCATCAAACGA